TTTTGGAAGTTGGCCAATGATGGCTACTTGGCAGCTCAAGGGTTAGAGGCAATTTGTAAGTACCAAATACTAAGAACCAATGGAACAATCATATTCAAACTCTGCTTGCAAGAACATCCGGATGGCCAAGTCTGATCTAATGAAGTAACTGCATTTTGTTCTGCTCATTTGAAAATTAAGGAATGATACATTAAATTGCCAGAAGGCACAGCTGAAAGACTAATTATCTACCACAAAAACTGGTAGTTTTAGTTCTCCACGATGTCCAAGCATGATTTTTTTAATCTGAGCTTACCAATTATAACTTCACAAGACTTGCAGGCTTGAGAAACTTCATACGCACAGCGCATCTCAGAGTACGTAATTCCTCCAATGATAAACACAATCAACTTTGAACCACTCTTCCGGTCATCCAGGTAACTAGATTTGGGTTTATTGCGAGCACTGTAAATGAGAACATATTGAAGACTACTATATACGCTCTTCATAATGACTATGTGCAGTAGAAAGAAGCATCAGGAAGTTTACCGGAAAAACACAATTTGTATTCAAAGATCATGAAACCACTTACCTCACTGCTCCTGAACCATTCCAAGGCGCAGGGCACTGGGAACTGTAGGGCCATTCCTTTGAATCCAGTTTATTTTCTATGGCATCCTGGAAGAAAATAAGCTCTTTTCATCCGAGTAAGATGACCTACAGTATTTACTGAAGCCCTCAAATTTCCTATGACTGACAAGCAGACATGAAACCTGTATACAGCTGCAAACACTTTCTGGGTTAATAGATGCACACACGTGTAAACAAAAGAACAGAAGTTAGGGGTTCCAAGAATCAGCCACCTTTCTGGGTGAAGGCACTGTCTGCTTAGTCCAGCACTGCAAACCCTGAAGACATTACATATTTCTCCCAAGCTCAGATCTTCAGCTGTGGATCATATAATCACAGGATTTCCTGGTTAAATACTAAATAGTCAAAGAGGGAAATAACAGATGTCTTAAAAGCAAGCATGTAGGCAGTTTCATAAGAGAAGAGCAAAACAAAAAAGCTCCAGCATAATTCAAGTATTTATATTAATTAGTGTACATTCCAAGAATTTATGATGACAATGCCTGAGTATGTGTGAGGAGTGAATGAGTGAGTGTGAAAGAGTGAGAAAGAGAGAGATTGTGTATCACTTTTTCCAAGTCTCTTCAGAAAACTTGCTCTTATTCTCAAACAAACTTTAAAGGTTATTTTCCTTTCAAATGAAACTGCTTCAAAAATACTGGGGACTCTTTTAACCTTTACAAATAACTGAAGTGCCAACTCTTACCCAGTTTGGATATAACTCCCTTAACATAACAAAAGGAAGCAGGGAGAAAATGAGCAAGCATGAAAATTGTTCCCCATCTCATCCTATTTGTACTGCAAAAGGAAAAAGAATTTGTATGTGTCTGAAAATTACTCCGGATAGTTTTTTAACGTCTGGCACTATTAGGTTAATACATGTACTAAATGTAGCATATAGGTATGTTTTGAGATAGATTGTTTTTGCTCTAGAAAACATAACCAGGAGCTTTTTCTAGGATTATACCTCCATAATATCCTTGACAACTGGTGTCCATCTAGAAAGCTGAAATGTTTCTACCGAAGAACGATCCTTCCTTGGTGGTCTGCGTTGTTGTGATGTAGTCTGAAAAGCAAGAGATATTCTATTCTATAAAATGATGTGGCATTTTTTCTGAGTTATTACTCTCTAAGAAAATGAGATATGCAAAAATAAATGTACATACTACAGGTAAGCACCATTGAAGAAACTTGATAATAATTTAGTCAATTATTTACTTTTCATAAATATAGGCTAGACATCATTGTCTGAGGCTTAATTAATATTACACTTCAACCTGCACTGATTTTGTAATGAATTTGATTGCTATCAAGCATTGTTAAGATTAATACGGCTAACGTTTTGGTTGATCACCACTTTGCAGTTCATGCAGAAAAGGGGCAGACAGATGAAGTTGGTTCTCAGTTTCCTTCTGTCTGGCCAAGATAAATATCAATATGTATCAGAAACTACATTTTGTTTTCATCTTTTACAGCTATAGGTAAGGATTAAAATGTGTGGGCCCAGAAAAGGGAGAGGATAGACATTATGACCTCAGCAGGCAAAGCATCGGTTTACTGCAGCAAAAGAACCTCTTAATATGTACAGTATAGAAGGAAAAATTGTAAATTGACATGTTATGCACAAGGGTCCACACATTTTGGTTGGCCTTGGTAGTCATCCATTACAGTAAGAGGCAGTCACTTCCAACTTGCGCCTCACACATCTTTAGCATACAATGGAGGACTCAGAAGTAGTAGTAGGAAGTTACATATAACATGAAACTGAATTTTGGAGGCATCTGGACTTTACTGCTTCCTAAGCACAACATGATGTCAAAAGACAGCACACCACCTGTCTCCCTCTTTTTGCAGAGATAGCAAATAGGCAGCAGTTTCAAAGATATGGTCACCACGGCATCTGTAAACTCCTGGTTGTACACACCATATATCGTCTATCCAGAAAAGGAGAACGCATGTGTCAGTGCAGGCTTCCATGCAGAAGGCATCTCACGTTGCATCCGCATCTTCTCCTCCAGACTCATGTGAAGGAATCTTAACACAGGTGGGGATGCATGTGCCCATCTGCCGTCACTTAGAGTTACATACAACTGGTTGTGAACAGCTAGAGTTTGCCACAGACATTCTCTAGGTCCATTGAAAAGCAGTTTTTGTTACTACTTCTAGAAGCAAGCACACATGCACCAGATAAGGTAAAGCTAGTTAGGTCATGCTCTCTGCTTATGCTGCACAATCACAATGAAATAAGTTAACTCTTAGAAGGAGCAAAGAGGCCTGGCTTTACCGTCGGATATTCTGCTACAAAATGGCATGAGTCTGACTATGTAACTTCAGAGTAGCTTCCATACTTGCCACTCTACTCAAACTTGCATAAAGCACAAGGGTTGATCATGCCAAAGGAATGCTCAATAGCAGTACAGCTACTTAAAACACATGCTTCCCATTTTTATTCAAAGACGAATTAAATGATTTTTACCCTTTCTTCCTTAAGGTGCTTGGAGTATTGTAGTGCATGTTTACTCAGGAGTTAGTCCCACATGCAGTGAGGCTGACTCCCTAGTAGGTGTGCTCAGGACTGCAGTCTTTTGGCACAAATAAGCTGTAGGCAGAATCGCATGCTCCCTGGAAAACCTGGCATAATGTAATTGTGCAAGATGCAAGCTAAGAAAGCCCCTGGGCTTCTCATCAGCTACAAATTCATTAGAGGGCTGTTACCTCTTCATCTTATGTTCCGATCCACACCACTATAATATAGAATAATTATGCAGACCTATCTTACGTGGCTGTTATAAAATTACTTCCTTAATCCAAATGCAACACTTTATTTATACTACATAAAAATTAAATACTGTCACTACAAAATGATTACAGACTTGCAATCGCAATAATCATACTATGAAGTTCCAAAAATGTTGACAGCCGGAATTAAGTCACGCAATTTGTATTATAATCTTTGAATGTGCATAAATGACTCTCATTATAATTTCTGGGTTCTGCAGAATTTAGAATAATTAGGGGACGACTGAACTAAATCTCAGGAGAAACGTGAAACACAAATGCCAGTGAGAATAGCAGAACAGATCTTAGGAAAAAAATCATGGTAATGTTGTTATTGCCAAGAGAGATTTAACAGAGAAGGTAGAAAAACGCTGCATTCCTTACTGTGGTAATAACAGGCACACCAAGGTACTTCCAATTTTTTATCATGTCACCATCATTTTCTATCTGTACATTCTGGATCAGCCTGTCCATGTTCTCTTGTGTAGTCCCTTTTTCCACGTTTAAAAATAAATTTGACATTTTAAATTAGTAATTTATTAGTTTTTATGTAGAATAAAATTCAAAGTATTTCAGCTAGCACTAAGTTTGATACACTCTATAAAGTTGTACCATGGCATGCAGTACTGTACTGAATGTTTGCCCCATGCCAGTCGAATTGTTACTATCTTCCCTGAACCCTCATCCCCCGCCATTTAAATAAGTACAGTATTCAATACAGCTATTCAAGAGATAGCCCAATGTCTTGGATCATTAGGTAAATTAACTTAAGGAAGGTCATGGAAGGAAAGTTCCCCATCCTTTCCTTCCCCTGCAGCCACCCAAACCCCTTGAAAAGCCTCTCTGGAGGTTCTTCCAAACAATGTGAGTGTGGAACGCTGCTGGGTAATTGTCTAAAACTGAGCTTAATACCAAGATTAAGGAAACGCACCAAAGGAAAAGCTTCCCATCCAGTCCCCCCCTTTCTAAATTGCTCAGGAGCACCCTGTCGACCCTCAGAAGAAGATTCTAATGGGCCACCAGTAGCGACAAGGAAGAGAAGACAATGGAAAGCTTCCCTTTCATGTACTTTACTTGGCAATGCAATCTTATATAGACTGATTTTTCTTGTTGTCTATTCCAAAATAAGTTCCACTGAGTTAATGCGACTTATTCCTAAGTACATGGGTATAAGATTGCAACCTAAATTGACTTATGATCTGTGAAGCCATTATGCTATAAACCGTCTATTTTTCTGGTTCGTGGCCATGACTTTCATATCGCTCACGTAATGTGAAATGTCAGTTCATTAAGCCTTACATTTATCTAGTGCTGTATATGACTTATTTACTGTATTAAGCTATGTATTAAAGCGTCTCTGAGGTTGCCTGCCCCGCTTAAGAGGTACTCTCCTCCTGATGCCTAAGGTATTAGAAGTCTGACCCATGATGGTTTGGAATAGGGCCCCTAATATCGTAGTGCTTAATCTCTGGAATACCTTTCCAGGCTGAAGAGAAAGGACCCAAGGCTCTGACCTTTCGGAGTTCTCCATGGCTACTAATAACTTGTCTGGTTCAACAAGCCTTCCCTGAATGGCCATCCTGAATTTTTATTTGCAGTCATGCTATAGTATCCAAGTCCTGTACAATATTTTGTTATTGCTTGATACTGTATTGTTTGTATATTGCTTAGACGCTCATAAAGAGACAAGTAACCCTTACCGTTTGTGCTGAAGATATAGAGGAGGATGGCCCTTATCTTATCATAGCTGTCGTGAGTTTTGTTAAGCAGTACTGGAAGAAGGACACGCATGGAGTCTTTCACTTTCTGCCCCTCAGCATCTGTTCCAAGAGCCAAGTCCTGAGATACAGAAAACAGATATCTTCTGAAGTCATAGCAGGCATTCAAGGATAAGTGTGACTTGCTCACACGCCAACTAAATGTAGCCTTGCTCAGTATCCAGGATAAGTCATATCCTATTTATCCTTCTAGATGAGCTGTTTTTCTCCCCAGTACAGTTCTGATTGCTAAGAGAGGAGGCAGGCTAAAAAGCCAGACAATATTAACAGTGACCGGACCAAAAGTCTGTTAAAAGAAATGAGCTCCCCCTATCTCTTGTACATAAATTCAGGCCCATGCTCTTGCTTCCTCTGTTCTCCTCCTCCTCCTATTCTCCAAAAAAGCAGCGGGCTATTACTACATTCTCACTTTTGAACTTCAAGAGCATTATAAAGTATCACGACAAAACTGCGATCCTTTACAGAAAACATCAGTAAAAACAAGTTACCAAAACTGGCTTTGAAAGAAAAGGAGAGACTGTTGTACTGAATGCCCCAGTGGTCTTTCTGATCAGGTAAAGAATACTACAGCCGTATTGCTACAGCTACACATGATAACAAACAAAATTGAACCTCTGATACTAGAATGCTATTGGCATTTGTCTAGCCCAAACAACACTGTACATATAGGCACTTCACATACCTGTTCAACTTTGCACAGCTTTTCTATGTTACCCTTAAACTTATTCATGCAATCTTCAGCTATGTTAAGATGCACTACTTGCTGCAAAACAGAAGCAAAAATGTACTTTTTTTATAACAATGGCACCACATGAAAAAATACATGAGTCATTAACAGCCAGTAACATTTCACATATACAATCTTAGAGTTTGTGGATTGCTTTTAAAGAATCATATTCCACAATTTTTAGAGGTGAAAATTGTATAGCTCCATTTAACATAATTTTGGGACACATTTAATTTGCAAGAATACTAATTAGAATTAATGCACTATTTCACTTTAAGCCACAATCCTAGCACACAGTTAGTGAGTAAGCTCCATTAAAGTTAGAGGAATATACTTCGGCATGAAACAACAATACAAAATACATATTAAATTGTACTGATTAGTGGGATATTCTTTCTTGGCATATACCATCTAACATACTTAGGCATTGATTAACAGTTAAGACAAACTGATAAGGGGTTAAATCAACCAACCAAAACAGCAGTTGGAAAAGAACAGAAAAGAACTGATGAAAACCGTGGGAGCCCCTCCTATATATACCAAGAGGAGAGATGGGCAGGGCAAGACCAGTCTAGCTAGGAAAATCTTCCTGGTAGCAGGTCCTGGGCAGGCACATAGCCCATATGTGTGACACACAGCGACTATGAAGAAGAATGGGTACATCAAACAAAAACGATTAGCTATAGTACCTAAATGGAACTTTCTGTACATGGTTACTCCAGGCCCAAGATGCTAGAGATTGTCACCCTTACGTCCCCCTTTAGGTTGGCCACAGCTGACCTATGTTGGAGGAGATGGACTACAGTGTAATTGGAGAAGGCAATTCTCATCCATGGAACCATATAGCATCTGATCAACTTCAGTTTAAGATGCTCTTAACTAGTGTTTGGGCACACAATGGTCATTACTACTTCAGTAGCATAATTTCCAGGACACAGAACAAGAGGAAAGACTTCATCCAGTCATACTTCCATCCCAACATGTCACAGAGGAGGGGAGGGGAGAGGAGGGGAGGGAACCCCCAGGCCCCAGAACATCCAACAGCAACATTGTATAATGTGCTAACTTACCTTAGTAATCTGTTTGCGGAAGTGGGGCATCTTTTTCATGAGCTGAGTCAGATTACTTAAAGACAGCTGAAAAATAATTCAAAATTTCATTCTTTAAGTTCTGCTATGGGTAAAGATTGGAAAATACCATGAGCATCATCTTCAAGAGGTCTACTAAAACTGCAATCCTCTGTAAATATGCACAGGAGCAAATACCACTGAACTTGCAAGATCTTGTTTCAGACTAAATGAAATTAGCATTAAATTGTATGCCTTCCAGTGTTTCATTTTCTACTCTAGTAGATAAGTATCAACAAGGACATCATCTACACATCTGAAAGAAAGCCCCTATATACCTACACTTCACTTCAAAATCCATTTCTTTAGGAAGAGGGCAAAGTTATACCATACATATAACAGCTTAAATAGTAGTTAATGCTAATTTTAAGGAAAATTGATTTCTTACTTTCCCTTCAGTTGCCTTCCTTTTTGAAGAAACTTCTTTCATAAGCTTTGGTATTTCCCTAGAAGAGCAGAAGAAGTGAATTCTAAATATTTCTAAATTAAAAAATAAATCCAAAATCCAAAACTAATGTTTTGTCCTTAGTGTTACCTCAATTAATGCAATGGTTTAGGAAGCATAGATACGCTGTCTTGGTTTCTTCTAGATAGGATCATACATCCTATTAGTTTGGATTCAAAGAAACAAAACCTGGAAAACAACTACTTTTGCTCTTGTGAACCACCCAGAGAAAATAACCACTTTTGCTCCTGTGAACTTCGGCTGTTGGACAGCATAAAAATGAATTAAAAAAAAACTTAAGAAAAAAAATTGTGCTGTAAACCCTATCTTATGTGTTTAATGTTTCCTTATGTTATATTTCATACTGCATAAAATAGACAGCAGAAAATACAACTAAGCAGGGTCAAATTAAATTTTATTTATTATATAGTAATATGTCCAATTAAAAAAATATCAGGCAGGTTTACATAAAGCTGAAAGAAGATACAAAACAAAATATATTGAACAGTGCAGGAGAAATATAAAATACTCCCTAGCTGCAAAACTACTTATTCAAAGAAAGTATATCAACCAGAATGGCCAGTGGTCCTCCTTCCACAATCAAAACTGAACTTCAGTTTATCAGGCCTCATCCCACCTGTTACTGATTCCACCACTTTACTGGAATCAGAAGAAAAGTGACGTAACTGAGAGGTACAAAAGTACTGATGACATTGAAATACAAATCCTCAAATTACTTCTGTTGTTTCATGTAGCCATTCAAAACCTCAGGAAACACATCACTGTGAAATTCCACAATGAACAAAACAGCAGCATCTGGGGCTGATGGGAATTGTAGCCCAACATCTAGGGGCCCAAGGATGGAAGAAGACTGATCTAGAAAGTCAGTGTGGTGCAGTGGTTAAGAGTGCAGGTCCAGGACTCAGGATTGGGACAGGACTAGGACTCAAGAGTGCAGGACCGGGATTCAGGCAATCCGGGTTCTAGTCTCCGCTCAGCCATGGAGCCAACTGAGTGACTTTGGGCCTGTTGGGAACCCTTCAGCCCAATCTACCTCACTGGGTTTTGTTGTTGTTGTGAGGATACGTCCAAGAAGGACAATGATGTTAACTGCTTTCCTTTCAATAGGTAAAATATAAATCTAATAAATAAATAAATGTATGCACACACTAGAAAGATAGATGATAGGGTTTGAACCAAACTAAGTCATGACCGAGATGTTCCACTGAACTCAAGTTCAACTATAACTGTTTAACTACTTAAAACAAGGGTATGAATCACTGGGCTGAGTGGGAGTTACATCTGAGAAGTTATGTATAGGATTGCACCAAAAGTCTGGGTGCAACCCTACACATACATAGTATCTTACACATCTCTTCCCAGAAGAAAGTCCATTAAGTTGACTGAGTTCCAGCCAAGTGAGAACAAGCTTTGCACTTATGTTAGATCAACGGAGGTCCCACTGAAATCAACTGGACAACACAGCCATCACTTGAGTCTCACTGACTGTAGAGGGAACTATGTTTCACTAATTTAGTCCAGAAAATATTAGAAAGGCTAGTATGTCAAACTCTTACTATTTCTACTGAAAAAGAGTATGAATATGCTTGCATAGTAACATACATACTAAGATTTAATAAGTATCATATTAAGCAAAATAGCAAGAGACATTAAAACATACATACTCCAATACATCTGCAATATGCTTGTGTCGGATTTTCACCCACAGGTCATCATCTTCCTCTAGAATAGCTTCCCTTTCTTTACCACTCGCACCCTCAGTCTTATACCTAAACACAAGAAGTAAGCAGGTTATTCATTGTACTTGATATAAGTGAACACACAGAGTAAGGTTGTGTTTTTATATCACTTAGTTATAAGAGAAAACATGTATTATTTAACATTCTTATTATGAATATAAAGATTCAAGAATTGGAACATAGAGGAAAAATTGCACTTTTTAGGGAAGATAAAGGCTGTGATTCTGGGCATATTTATGAAGGGGAAAGTCCCTTTAAAGTCAGTCAAATTAACTCCCTAGTAAATTTGCACAAGATAAGCTGAAAGGGTCATCATGGCTGGTTGTAATTTCATGTATTAAATGGCATGAACTGAAATTCAGAACAGATTGTCTTAAAATCAATGCTTTTTAAAAATCCGCCTCACCCAACCTGGTGTCTTCCAGATGTTTTGCGCTTTATGTCTCATCAACCCCATCTGGCAGAGTCAATAGTTAGGAATTCTCAGAGCTTAGTCCAAAACATCAGGAGGGCACCAGGTTGGGGAGAGCAAAGTTGATTACATGTTACTTCTCTGTTGTACAGAACATTGCTGCTACTCAGTTTTGTTAAGCCTCAATTATACAGAAGGATTATGGTAAGATAGGGAAATAATAAAGATACTGACTTCACATGCAGTCACAGAATAGACTTTGACATGGGTATTTAATTTACATATCTAACATGCTTAGCATTACATACTTCCAACATTAAGCAGATTCCTAAGACCTGAAGGAACACTACAAAGCATACTAGTGCTATATGCCACGAAACACCGTTTATATGTATAGAAACTCACATAAAATGATTCAACCAGAAAGCAATAGAAATATAAGAAGGGGGAAAATGAAAAGTTAGTTCACGACTAAAAAGAGCATTAGCTAAGTAGTGTAGGTTAGTTATACCTATTTTTCCTTAGCACTTATTCTAAGAAGTTGAAATACTGGTGTGGCATTTGTATTTTATTTATAAATACCAACAGCCGATTCTTGGCTTTCTGCAGTATAGCATTAGGGCTCCATACTCAAAAAAATAAGTTAGTGAGAATGTGGATTAATACAGAGCAGTTTTCAAAATCCAGAAAAAGACATCATCATCATATTTTAGCTCCAATAAGTAGGGCTTGATCTACCATTATTTTAAGTTATACTACTAAGGTTTCCACCCTGCTGCCATTTAACTTTAAGAACGCTTCGAGAGAGGGGGGCGATCCTCCATGTGTCAGTCTCCTTTAATACTGCCAACAGTCTTCTGTATCCCTTTCTTTCATGACAGAGAATATCATATATGTTCTGTAGACTACAAGCTTCCATGGGACTTACTGTAAGCACAAATAGGGGACTATCACCATTCATAGCACAGCAGAAACCCCTCCCCAGCTTTTTATAGCAGGAAAATTAGACTGCAGTCCTAAGCATTCCTGAGAATGCCACATTTCAGTCACGAAGGGGCAGACAATTTCTTTTAAAAAAGAAAAGAGATAGGATATTAATCTAATAAAATAAATACATTTGAGGTCTACTCAAGGTTTACTAGGTCATCTGGAAACTACTGTATGATTCTATGAATATAACACATGTATAAAAGACCTAGGTAAAGTTATACTTGCTTGTATGTATCATTTTCAATAGGGAGCAGATCATAAGCCATTGCTTGAAAAGTGAGTTCATGCAGCACAGCTGACACTGGGTCAAAGCCGCGATCTATTATTAACAGCTGGGAGTTGGTTTTGCCCTAAAAAGCAGAGAAAATCCTCCCATTTAGGCACATAAAACATAAAAATGGAGTACTGCAGAGCTGTACTCTCTAATGTATTTAAGGTTCATTCATACGTGGCTTTCTTTAAAAAGAAAGTGCAATGCCAGAAAATAAATCCTACAAAAACTAGAGCACAAGAGGGGCAAGTATTTAAAAAAATTAATCTGATTTATGAGTCATCCTACAACCAAAACTCTCAGGGCAACATACATAATAAACATTATTCAGTCTATTCTAAGAGAATCAAAAGCACAACAATCCAAGCAACATGTTTCAATTAAGATGTTCCTCAAGGGCAATGGGATCAGATATCATTTTCCTTCATGGGAAATCTTTTTGATGCCTTCAAAGGAATCCACGCTGAAGAAATGGCATACCAGATACAGCCTTCCTTCCCCAAGAAGGATTTAATTCAAAGCAACAGATTAACATATTCATTGTCTTAGTAGTGCTAGTATAAATTTTCCTATCCAGCATTCATTTCTGGCTGGCTTCTCCTTTAAAATTTAATAATCTTATGGATTTCCAACCTCTTCGAAAGGACAATGAATCATTACCTCTTGTCCAATGAGTACATCCCAAAATTCTTTGGAAACAACCTTTGCCATGACAATTCCTTTCCAGGATAACAAGACAAAGAATGGAAGTTTGGGTGAGACAGATCTCTCCTGCCCCTACCCACCCAAAGGAAAATGAACTTTTACTCTACCTTGACTTGGTTTCGTTCATCAGTTTTATAGTAGTTTTCAAGTTTTTTCTCAACTAACTGTGCAAGTTTACTGGCATTATCCAAAGGTTTGCTGAAAAGAGACAAATAAATTCCTAGCCCTTTCACTGAACTCGTTAGGACATTAACGGATCATGGTCATCAAATTAGTCAGGTTCCTTTGCTCTGAAAGAATTCTAATTGCTCATCACCGATGAAATACTTTTTACATAGGAAGGAACAGAGGACACGATCCTACAAAGAGTGAAAGCACTGGCCCATGAAGCTCAGTAGTGTTTGCACTAACTAGTAATAGCTGCCCAGAACTTCACTAAGAGTCTTGTGCAGCAGGAACTGGAGAGACCAGTGAGTGAACCCAGACCATCTACAAGCAAAGCATGCATTTTATCACTAAACCATCCCCCCTTGCCCACAATAATTTATTTTGAATAAACAGAGCTGACATGGTAAAACTCACTAGTTGGGGACAGTGCCATTGGCCGCTTGACTAGGTTCACAGAGCTTTTTCCTCTGCAGATCTAAGAGCTGGAACTTGGAAAAATGTTAAAGAACAATACTAGGCTAGGGTATCTCCAGAAGTCCTGGAAGGTCTTAACTCTTTTGAATGAACAATCTCACCCATATTTATTTATTTAAAACATTTTTATGCCGCCTCCATCGCAACGAAGCCTCAGGGTGGCTCACAACAGAAACAAAATACATAAATAAATAACAATATAACAATAAAAAACTTATTTAAAAACCTCCGGTGCATGTCGGCTAAAAATTTAAAATCCTATAAATACAAATACTTTAACAATCAAACTAAGTTTTAAATAAAAAGGTCTTAGCCTGGCGCCGAAAAACAAATAACGACGGCGCCAGGCGGACCTCTCTGGGGAGCGTATTCCATAGATGGGGCGCCACCGCAGAGAAACCCGTATGTGTTCCCTTTCAATTCACTGAATCGTCATCTGCATGAGATGGTGTAAATTGGTATCCTGCAACAGTAGGGGGTTGGAACCAAGGGCCTTCATGGCCTCTTCCAACTCTATTATGATTCTATGATTTCTTTTTTATCTTTCTCCCCTTAGCTAGTCCTCAATTTCCAAACAACATAGAATAATGCCCAGGATTTTCCCTTCCTGCACATCCGAGTCTTTACACTGCCTCCTTATATTTCAGAGTTGGTAACACACTGAATTTCTAGACTACTCAAAGCATATGATCTCATTCCAATCAAGTTGACAGGATACCTGTAGGGTTTAAAATAAAATGTCTAGTCCTACCTTTTGTATCTTACACCTGGATTTTCTTCTAGAGTGGCACATAATGTCACAATTTGCTCAGCCATTTGCTCCATTACATTGTCATTTGCCTTTTCGATATTAGGAGTGTAACAGCGGTAGAATGCATTTGGGACATCAAGAGTAAATACCTAAATCAAGAAACAGTTTCCGTATAGACAGATTTAAGAACCAGGTCATGGCAGTTATCTGTAAAAGACTGTTATTAAAATGCACAAAAATAAGTATCTAAGCTAACATGGCCCAATTATACCACTTTTAAAACCTCAAATGTCTTCTCTGTCCACTTGAGGCAATATGCTCCTTGTTCTTACACTCTTTTTCTTTACCACTGTCCTCCATTTTCTCGTCTTACTGACAGATATTGTACAACCTGCTCACTACCTGCACAGATGACGGACTCTGATAAAGCCAGAACAGTTCACCACTGAACGTTTTAATCACTTGTTATCAAAAGTATCTATTGCATCACACAGGAACGTATTTTCTACTTTGGATTTCTGTATGTCAAGAACATTTCTCATAACTGTACAAGCTAAGATTTTCAAACTGCATCCCTTGAACATATGAAGAGCTCCCATGAACAGACCGCCGATGCAATGAACAACATGCGCAAATACATCCTCCTCTATTTACGGGTTCAGAAGGCGGCATATGGAGCAATGCTACAGCACAGTCCACTGCTCAGAGGGTTTGAGCAGAGTATGTAAAGGTGCTCGTCCATCAGGAGAGAGGGCACACCGGCAATTAAGTCCCTCCCTCCCGCCATATGCGTGCTCCACAGTATAACTTGACTTGACTGCCAGTAGTGTTTCTGCTGGTGACAGGACACAAAATGAAGTGTTCTCAGGGTATGTGAGAGGCAGCTTGGACCCACTAGATACACAAACACTTCATTTCTTTGAGAAACCCAGTCTCATCTCCCTAAATAACAGCAGTCTGGAGCGTGCATGGTTAATTCTCTTATCTGCATGTGCATCTTGCCACCCGCATTAAAAAAATGGAGCAAAAGGGAGTTTTTAAAGACTATCAGAGAAATCAGCAGAGGGTTGAGAGAACACTTAAAAGAAACATCCAGAAAATTGAATTTACCTGCGATTCATACGGAAAAAAATTTATATTTATTTCTTTGCACCGTCTTATTGCCTTTGAACAAGATGACTTCATTTTATTAAACAGTTTGTCATCACAAACTAAGAAGGAAAAGGAAAGTTTTTCAGTCATCATATTAAATGGTTCAGACATCATTTTTGCTACAGGTGAAGTGCTTACCTATGCAAAACAGTCTTTTAAAAAAACCTCATTCAACAAGTTAAAATGCATCAACCAGTTTTGAAAAGTCCTTGGAGTTTATGTTTATTCTAAATTACATCTAATAGATTTAGTAGCACACTAGTTAAGTACAGATGCAGAAGTAAAAATTCAAGCTAAAATACTTGGCCATTTTTTTCAAACTGAAACCTAATAATTAGTTCATTAAAAAGACTACTCCAAACCTTTCCTTTATTCCACTTAATCCAATCATATGAGAGGCAGGGTCTTTTTAGTGGTAGCACCCTAATTATCACACCATATACCCCAAAAACTAACCAAAAAAGCTGCTTTCACTATGAGGAAATCCACAAATTTTTTTCTACTAGAGCAATAGTCATTTACAGAGAAGTACCAAGACAGGACAGGACAGAAAATTATATGATATTTATTTTAACAGTTGATGTATTGGATCTATGTTGTTCTAAAATTGTGTATATTTTAGGATTGTCCTTATCTGATTGTTTATTTTTTCTATGACTATATTGTAAGCTGCCCTGAAAGGTCTAGGGAGCCACATTGGCAACATTTAAGTTCCAAAAATAAAATAATGCAGCACTGAGATTACAGTTGTACACCAGTTCTTCCCAAGCTCTACTTATAGATTTTATGGTTCTTTTCAAGATTGATTTACTATCATACATGCCATCCAAATCCCTAAGACAGTGCCCCAGTGCAGAAACAACCCATGTTTTGTTAATCATAGGTTGATTGTGAGTAGTCAGGAATCAGCAAGCTAGTTCCTGGTCACTCACGTATTTCTGCTTTGTTGAACAACCTAGGAACACCTGCTCCTGAAGTATTAATCATTATGTCTGATCCTGTATTTTTAATTGTTGAAGGAGAACAAGCCAGAATCCTTGACAGCCCAGAGCTCTGGCTTTGAATGTTATGGCAAACAATACAGAAACCAGTTGCTTCGCAAAGAAGGATGAGGTCAGAGTTGGCAAACTTGCTTGCTCCCATGTGCTCACAATTCATGAATTATTAACTATGGTTGTCTGATTTATTGTACTGCATCAGTTTATGCATAAAAGCAGCTAAACTGCTCTCTGTATTACAATGTACAGAAGAATGCAAAGATAAATGTAATTCTCTTGTCAGAATAAGAAAGTTTGTTCACGTGTCCCCAGCCTAGACTAGAAAAATGGCCAAAATTAAAGAAATCAATTTGTGTTAGTAAATACTTACAGTCAGTAAAGTAGACATAAGCTGCTTTGTACTTGCTTGCCGATTTACTTACAAAGTCATTTATAAGACCATCTACAGACTAAAAAAATTAAACAATACATTTTACTTAATTACCAATATCTGTGTTATTAATTAGATGCTTGCTTGTTGTCAGCAAAACTATGTAAAAATATATTGTATATTTATATATGTATGTTTCTAACCAGAACTACACTAGCAGTAAGCAATTGCGATCGTCTAAAACAGTCTGAAATCCAAATTCCTGACATCCTTATAGAAAGAAAAATAAAACAAAGGTGAACTAAGCAAAAAGGGGATCAGCAGCCAAACTGTTATAATCTGCACAATATTATTAGCAGATATACTTTTAAACTTTATTTCTTATTCATATAATTTTACAAGTATATCTAAAAGATGAGTGTGTAGGAAAGGCCATGTACCTAAAATCCACAACTATCGTTCAAACAAACCATGATCAAACTTCAGTTTATAACCCTGGATTATATAACGTATTTTGGTGAAAACTAACCAGAGTTCTGAGTTACATGTAAAAAGGGCTTCTACTTAGTCCTTAGATGCCTCCATCCTCCTCCCCTGTTGCTAGAAAGAGTAGGGGTGCTGCATGCAAGTTAGCCATAGTGCTAAACTGTAATTTAGCACTGCATGTAAAAAACGGTCATTGGGTGGATTCAAAGATACTCTGCATGATCAGAAAGGAACGTGTATTCATGCAAAGAGCTTCTGAATTCAACCAGTTACATCTATCTATCACAAACTGCTCATGACAATCATCCAGCCCTTAAGATTTGATCTGCTGGGTGCACAAACAGAGAGGAGGGAGCGGAAAAGTCTTGCTATGCAAGTACGGTTGTGCTGATACTCCTCTTAATTTAACCCCACAGGCAGTAAGGGAATTAGATAGTTCCAGTTCTTACACTGAACACTGTGAGCATTTTTCACCAACTCTTCTCAATGCATGGTTAACCTAGGCACACTTCACCTTAATTTAATCATTACAAGGAGAAAATAAAGCCTATGTGATGTATTACTTTCCTTAGAGGACTAACCTTTGCTGTAGGTGTGATGAGATAAATAGCTTTCATGTGAGGGACTGGCTCACGGTTTTTATAAACATTCTCCACAACTACAAAGGAAAAAGATCCTAATTAGGCAAAAATAAACTTCTAAAGAATTTACATTTGAAAACATATGAACTCTGATAAAGATTTGCTAGTTCTAGATGGCAGCTGGGCGCACTGAAAGGACTTATTAACATTTCTCTTCAGTCTAGCTCTATTTGTGTTTCAGACAAGTTACCTTATTCTGTAATTAAAAGGAAACCGCTCTCTAACTATTGTTAATGTGTTGCCATAGGGGACTGTCTCATCCCAAACCACAAAAACTTTAGACAAAATTACTGAAGTTAAAGTTCAGGTGATTATAAGAGATTTGAACTGTGAAGGACCTAGGAACCTTGTACCTTGTGCATCTCACATGCACATAGGTTTAACCAAGTAACTTCTATGTCAGCCTTGTGCCCCCGGTTCTTTTTGACTACATCTCCCAGAATTCCTCACCACTGGCCATGATAAGGGTAGTTGAAGTCCAAAATATCTGGAAGGCACCAAGTTGGGGAAAGTTAATATAGAGGGTCAAGGCTAAGTTAAGAGAATTTAGATGCCACTAAAAACAATGAGAAATGTCAGTCTTGGCTTGAGTTCCACTGATTTCAAAGAAAACCGACTGCAGCTAATTTAATCAGTGGGTGCAACACTATTTAAAATTCTTTCTTACAAATTTGCTTTGTCTGAACTGTTTTAAAGAAGCTGAATGAAAGCAATTTTTTCAAGCAGAAAGAAGGTCTCCACAACCATTTCAGCTGGCAAAACTAGTTCTCACATATTCCAGGATTACAGAAGTCTGCTTAGCAGGTACTTACCTGTTATCCCCTCAGCTAATAAATCCGTCATTTTACCACATGACGACAGAAGCTTTGTGGTGAAGTCATCTAGAAGAATTATCTTTATTTAAACAAAAAACAAAAAACAAAGTAGTACTTTAGACAACTAGATCCAATTCTATACTCTTGTATTCAAATAGGATTTTGCACCCAGTCATTAATAAGAATGAATTTGCAGCTTTGCATAGTTTGCTTAACTATGAATTTACTACTGTAACTTCTAATATATTCAGTTATTTACTCATATATAAGTAAAATGCAGTAAATCACTAAGCATATAAATACTTGCATTATAAATATTTATTTGAGGAACAATTTCTATGGCCACTAGACCAATTCTAGAGGGACAAAGGATAATTTGGAGATCAGCTCAGAAACTTGCCACTGCAGAAAGAACTGTGTCCTCAGCAACAGCAACCTTGGAGATGGGCTCATGGGAGGGAGGGAGAGAGAGAGGAAGGGAGGGAGATTCCACTAGCTTAAGCAGTATCCTGACAGTGCTTCTTCTGCTCACATTCTGGGACCAAACACATAGTTAAAAACTGGAAGAGGAACAAAGGTGACCTTCACATCCACACTCTTTCTGTCATGCATAGGATGCCCATACTCTTCCAAGCTCCAAGAGTTATAGGCAGCCTCACTGAATTGCACTGTCTTATATTCATCTGTCATATCTATATTTATAGATACTATATTCTTCTGCTCATTGTATCTATTTCTATCTGTCTATATCTATAGCTGCTTACTGATGTAAAGTGCCTAAAAAGCTTCGGCTACTGAGCAGTATAGAAATGTAATAAATGAAATTAAGTGAAAGAATATTCTGTATCCCCCCATGGTCCCTAAAGACCACAAACAGCTCACAAATACAGCATCAAAAGAAAATGCTACTCAAAATAACAGTGTATTTCACAGGAACATAATGTTTAATGTTAATTTGTCCCAAACAACTAAATAAGGTTTTTCTTTCTTACTAAAGTATGACCAATTGACCTACACAGATCTCCTTCATGAGGACTTTCCACCATCTTAGCACCACAGCTGAGAAAGCCATATTTCATTCATTCACCTTCTTCATGTTTAAAGGAAGAAAAGGTATTTATTTATTATTTACTTATTAAAAGCTTTTGTATGCCATTCTATTATACAAGATCTCAGGACGACTTGCAGTTCACCAGAAATCTTGGTTCCAGACTGTTTAGGATTTGTAAGGTTAAAACCAGCACTTTGGATTTGACCCATGCACCAATCCACAGTCAATACAAATGGAATAATATCAGAGTTAGAAGTGTGGTTGTTGTATTATGTACCAACTTAAAGTGTCTGGGCACATATTTAAGACAGTCCATATTATGCTTGTTATCCCTCCCAAGCCTTTGAAATGAGGTATAAAATATGGAAGATTGCTATTATTTTCTGGAACCTGTAACAATGCCTGCATAATTAGTAAGAAGCTGAACTGCTTTGTTTTATTACTCAAACAGTCATATTGCAGATGTGTGCAGCCATGGACTGTGAACCCTCTTTGCCTGGCACACCCAACTGAACTGACCCAGCAATTTTGAGCTCTCATGTCATTGGTCAATTCCCCTCACACTTAAAAGCCTTAGCAAATTAGTTCTGACTCCCCTGGAAAGCCTGAATACAGCAATTTAGCCATGGATTACAATTAAGCTTACCCTTACCTTCCACTCTTCTTCTTTCCTACAGTCATCAAATACTTCTGTTTTTAGCTCTGAAAAAGAAATTGCCAGTTCAAATATCAGTATTGTTACAACATGACACTACCCAGCTCAGTAAAGAAAACATTTGACCCTGCAAATGAACCCATTCCTTTAACACTCTCTGTCTGTCTGTCTGTCTGTCTGTCTCTCTCTCTCTCTCTCTCTCACACACACACACACACACCCTTTATGTTCTGTGTTGCTAAATACCACCAGTTCAAAAGAACTGACCCTTTGTGTTGGAATTCTCAACAACCTAGTATTACAGAATATAGCAGCAAGAAAATGTAAAAATCATAGCATTTTAAAAGTCCGAATATATTAATTTCTTAATCTCCCAAGCTTCCTACTTTATCAGCTTGATCCGAGCATGATTTAACTTAGCAACCTAAACCACAACAACTCACTTCCCCATTTCCACCTTTCTTAAGTTCGCTATTCCATCCAACTTGCAAAGCATGGTAAACACAAACCAGTTTGTCAGTCCAATCCGGATAAAACAGTAAATTGTGTGGGGCAAACTAGGGATGGGGGAGTGTGTGAAATAATTTCATGCAAGGGAAAGACAGAGGAAAGCATTCCTGAAGACTGATTCACACTTGACACAGCACTCAGTGCTGTGCTGATATTAAGTTTTTGGCAACTTAACTGCAGAATCTGAATTGCTATCAGACACTGTGAGATACAGATCAACATCACTTGGGCAGGGGATAGTCATGAAGCCATTCAGATGGCCTTTTAGCAGAAGAAAAATGTTGCATGTGTACACACACACACACACCCCCCCCTACCTACACCTCAGTGCAACAGGACCAAAACCATCTTCAGAAAAGACCCAAAACAAACTCAAAGGATATGGCAACTAAGCTATTCATACACCTCTGCATTACTGTAGATCCAAAAATAAAGGATCTGGACTTAGATCTGGATGTATTTGGTTAAAGAAAATATTTCCATTTGCGTTCCTCGCTGCTTGCCCCCAAAAGTTGTAGCACATGGCTATTTCTCTTTCTGCTTCAAAAGATGACTAATTTAACAGAAGTCTACATGCACATTAGGAAATTCTGCACTTGCAGGATCTCCTTTTCACATTTTGTTTACTTGTTTTTAAGAAGTATCATGAAGGGAATGCCAATATTTAGAAAGACTTAAGATAAATAACATTCTGCAACCCACCATTCTTCCTGTAATATCCAAGAAAAGGAAGCACTATTCAAGGCTTTGGCTGTGGTCTCCTTAGCATTTAGATAAAAACATAATTACCCTTCCAGATGTTTTCCCTATAAATATGTTTTGATTTGCTCTGTCTTCTAGCTGGGATAATACAATTTGTTTTTCGAAACTGCTGTATTTCACACAGCTCTTTTGGCTGACAAGAGATGCTTTAGCATAGCAATACTGCCTCTCCACATAGTGTTTATTCTTTGAAATTATATAATGCCATCTATATATTACACATTGTAGACTAATACAATCAGGAAAAACAGATTTATTTATACAGGGTGACACCTTGTCAGAATTAAATTTCTATCATATTCAACAAGATCACCAGCATGAACTTGTAGACAAGCAAGGAGAACCAATTGCTTAATTCCTTCCACGTATTTATAAGATTGCCTCCTTAGTCTCTTGCCTTCCCCAACCAGATGATTTTAAGATGACCTGCACTACAATTCTTAGCATTTCCATCCTTCGCAATGCTAGCCAGTGCTGGTACGAGTTAAAATCCAAAACATCTGTAAGGCTCCTGCTTGGGAAAGGGTCCTTTATAGACACAAAGATGCACCTCTAAAAACGTAATATCAACAATATTTCAGTTGAACAAGCTCAATCTTTGTGCTGCATCTCACGCTATCCAGGTATAGCTTCTTAAAGAATGCATAAACAAACAAAGAGAATGTACTACACCTCTAACCCTGAAAATCAGCTCTATCTACTTGACCCTCCCAACTGGAGTGGTTTCAAAAAATAATAATTTAGCTTTCCACCAAACCTGGGTATCATACCTGAGTACTGATAATCCAGTTTGTAGTCATGTACAAACAGAGAATAACCACTGGCCATCTCTGAGCTCCCATGGTTTGCTGCACCAATGCTTAGTGAAACAATGAAGGACAGGGAACAAGCAAAAATGTGGGAACAAGCTAAAGGGAATTAAAGGGTGAAGATGCCGCTCTTCCCCAATACAGAAGCTAGTATTGTTTTTGCTGTTGCTAAATGCCATCAACTTGCCACCACTTAAAAGTTTTTCATTTTAAAAAGCATATTTAGGAACAGAGTAGTGTTTTCTAGGCATATGTCTGTTCATAGCTGCATTAAACAGTACTAGAAGCTGCTGCATTTTTTTAAGAAAACCCTTCTCTGAGAATTCCTACTCCAGAAACCCTAAAACTAGTATTATCATCAACAAAAGTAAAAAATGTTTGTCTCCAACTGGAAACTACTGAAATATTTCACCATCATCTATAATGAAGTTCCACAAAGGCTTCTATAATTAATAAGGATTTCCTTATTGTCCGGATGTGTCAACACAGTCAGGATGCCTGAAGTATTATGCAATTCTTCATAATGATGCTAGTAATAATACTAGTAAATATTTGCCTATTTGCCCTACCGCCCCCTGAGATCGGCAGCAGAAGCCCTCCTCCAGGAACCCTCTGTGAAAGATATCAGGAGACAGAGTACCCGGAGGAGGGCCTTCTCTGCGATGGTGCTCCATCTATTTAATATTGAATATTGAATTTTATTACCATATCTTAATTGCAGCCAGAGTGGGTCATTAATTTATGTTATAGTGTTATGTATTGAATTTTATTTGTGTAAGCCGTCCTGAGGCTCTCGCAAAGGACGGCATACAAATATCTTAAACAAACAAACAGACTTCTCCAGCTAATGGGCAGTCTAGAAGTTAATTAACTAAAGGCAGCTGTTCCTGTATACAAGATATACATTATTCCAGATGAAAAATGTGTCTATTCTTCAAATAACTTCAATAATTCTGTTTCAGAGAATGTGGGATGCTAATGTTACAAAGTAATAGCCTTCACTCATGGGAGTTCAGATGGATGGCCATAAAGATTTATGGTTAAATACACAAACAGAGAGGAAACATTAAATAACTACACTTGTAAAAGTAGGAAACAAATGTTGCTGCAGAAACAACGTTCCTTACTGTTGGTCAAACTGTAGGGCACAAAATAAATTATACCACCACTGCTTTTTTAGGTCTGAAAGAATAAAAAACTAAGAAATTTTAAAATGCACCAAAGAAGCTTATTATATTGTAGGGACCCAGATTGCTAAGAAGATCCCGGAGGAGGGCTTTCTCTGTGGTGGCACACCACCTATGGAATGCGCTCCCAAGAGAGGTCCACCTGGCGCTGTCGTTATTTGTTTATTAGCACCAGGCTAAGACCTTTCTATTTCAACAATATTTTAATAACTTTTAACATCAGCTTATAGGTTTTAATCTGCAGCCAGGGTGGATCTGGATTTTATTTGTATTATGTTTTATTTTATTTTATGTAAGCCATCCAGAGGCTACGCGATGGGACGGCATACAAATACTCTAAATAAATAAATAAATAAAGATCCTGCATGTAACACACCCCTTCACCTGCCATCTCAACCTCAAGTTTGGAAAGAAATAAACCAGCTCAAATAGCACACATGGAGCTCATTCCTGTGTATTATTAGAAAGGCGGACTCACCAAAACCATCTTTCATATATTCAACTCTACACAGGATTGCAATTTTAATTTCTATTCCTACCAAAGCCAACACACCTGAAAGTAACATACACTCAACTCTACCTCAAACTTTTTTTTAAGACTTTGTCGCTCTGGTCACATACTGCCTTTTTTATTACTGTGCTTATCCAGGACTGAGAGGCATTACCTGGAAGACCATATATGCATATGGCTTGGAGGAAAGGTTTCCAACCAAATAACTGAACAACAAAAACCTTATAATCTTTATATCATTCTGTTCTTCAATAGCCCAGATACAACCATTTAAACACCCAGATCTCCTGGAAACAGAAGGTCAGGCAATCCTATGGCCCCTAGGCAGCATTTAAAAAGCCACAGGATATTTCAGCTTCCCTGAACCAAGAAATGGGGAATCAGGACCCCAATCCTGCTCACCTTTCAGTTAACATGGAAAGAACCATGTCAGCTGCTTGTTGAAGTCAGCAATTCAATGCAGGAAAAAGGGTGGTAAGTGGAAGAGCCTTGAGAAGCTAAGATAGGAGCGATCCTGAGTCTTTTTCCCTCCCTTCTGCTGTGTTCTGGGTAGATGGAAAAACCCCAGGAAAAATGCAGGATGTGAGGTTAGGGAAGCAAAGTTTACCTCTACTTCTCTTGCAAAGGTTCCATTTTCAGCGGCTTACAATAACTGAGAATACCACCCATATGATTTCATCCCTTGAAGGGTGTTTTAGGATACAATTGTATCCTTTAAAAAAGCCTACTGTTCCCAGCATCCCTCCAGCCAGGTACGTTTTTGTTTGACTGTGAATAAGATTGTCCTCTTGCTTACATTTTTTTTTCCAATTTGTTTTCTCGCCCTCCAGGGACCTCAGGATGATGCACACAGGGTAATGCTAGCTTATTCTTACAGCATTGCTAAATTGGCACAAAATATGTGTGGCTAACCCTTAATTATCCAGTCCATTTCATAGCAAAGCAGGAGTTAGAACCCAAGTGCCCATCAACCCATCTCTTCTTCCATCAAGTATTTCATCCATTTTAGAATCTATGCTGTGATGGTCATTGAGTGTGTTTGTGTGAGGAAACATTACTGTAGAAAGTAATGACTGGAGCGTCAACCGAGATAAAAATCTTCCTGTCTCTTACATCCCCATCACACCCTAGATTCCAAAGTGCCCCTCTTACAGATGCTTATAAAAACCAACCACATTCTCCATCACAAATTATTTCCACTCCTCCCTACCTCAAAATCCAGCCCTTGCTCCCCCCCCTCCAGAATTAGCAGAATCATCGCATTCTGTGCTCACAACGCCAAAGGTTTCCTCTTCTCCCAACAACTACTGATCAGATCGTTCCTCGACCCAAGGCTCAGGTTCAAATCCCCGTTCACCCACAACGCTTCCAGGGTCACCTTGGCTGTTACATTTCTCCACCTGTTCCCAGGGCTGACATATTAATTTTCAAATAAAGGATTACTAGAAAGTGGAGGGACGCGATCCAGCTGCGTGCACAATGATCGATCAGGAAGGAAACGAACAGCGTTACTGCTGTCCCCTTGTTTGCAGAAACGACTTTTTTTTTAAGCACCAGCTTGTCGTAAAAAATTTGGAAGGGGAAGAGAAGGGTTCGTCTCTCTATTTTTTATTTTTATTTTTTGCACGCCCAGAGACAGTTATAAAGGCGCAGCAGAGGGCTAGCTAAAAACGGGGGGTTCTCTCAGCCCCCCAAGCCCAGACCACCCCGGTGCCAAATGCGCGTTCTCCCCGCCCTCCCCATCGCTTCCTCCCTTCCGGCGACAGCCAAGGCACGTCCAGCCAGGCCCGCCCGGGGCTGCCGCGGCACGCCCCGCCGATTCCTAGCGGGCGCTCCTTGGGGAAGGAGGAGGAAGGGGAGAGAGAGGCCCCGGCCCCCGACACTCACTCTGCCACACCAGGCTTTTCAGCCCGCGGTCTGCGCTCGCGGCGGCTGCAGGCGCCATCTTGCCTCCGCGCTTGCACCGTCGCAGGCTTGCCGGGGGAGGCCCGCACTCTAGGAGGCGGAGGCGGAGGCGGCGGCGGCGGCGGCCATGCCCCGTGCCGATCGCCGCGCCCCTCGCTCTGCGGACTCGCCGCCGCCCTTTCGGCCGCACGATGCGCGTGTAGGGGGACCGTCGGGACGGGCTGCCGCTGCAAGTCTGCGGCGTCGAAGCCCAGCCCTCTTCCGAGCTGAAGGCGCGGCCATGGGCTGGCTGCAGAGGCGCGTCTTGCTGCAGAGGGCGGGCGGGCGAGCGGCAAGGCAGCGCCTCTTGGCGAAGCAGCGGGGGGATTTTGCGCGGTGAAAGGCGGGGGGAGAAAAGGGGGCTGCACGGGGCGGGGGGCCGGCTTGCCGTCTCGAGCTGGCTGCGCTCGTTGGTTCTTCGGGACGAAGCCTGCCTCTGTCGTCTGCTGCAACGGAGAGTTTGGCGGCGCCCTGGAAACTCGGTGCACAATCTTTGGGAAAAGGACTTGCACCGTTCCCAGGGTTCTGCGGTCACCATGGGGAACAAGAAGTCCTGCAGGCCGGGAGTTGCAAGGCTTTTTCTGCCTAACTGTCCTGGGATTCTGGCCCAACACGTTGAGTTTGGCAGAAGCACCATCTTGCATCTGCTGAAGTGGACTGCAGTCCATGAAAGCCTGTGCTAGAATAAGGGTGTGATCATAGATGGGAGAAAGGGTCCTACAACTTACAGCATGGAAGTAGCATGTCATGTATGCCTAGGAATAAGCCCCAAATGGCTTGGGCTACACCCTTTTGGCTGCAGTCCTATTCGCTACTAGAGTGTGGCTGTAAAGGGCTGCTCTGAAATGGGGTTTTAACCCTGAGGCAGAAAGAGATGCAAAATGATAAAGCTACAAGTGTGGTGTTTTAAAGGATTAAGGCATCACCAAAGTGATATTTATCCTAAATACAAGAGAACAATGGGGAAAATGCAGTTATTTTAAAGCAAGGCAGTAGTGTCCATACAATATTTTCAAAATGCATTCAAAACGATGGGTGCTAACCAGTCAAAACGGCAAAGATCTTGCAAACCACCAGATTTTTAGAGACTTAAGCTTGTGGACCAGACTCCACTTATCAGACCTTAGTCCATAAAAGCTCATGCCAGGATAGATTTTGTAGTCTTCAAGGTGTCACAAATCTCTTTGTTAGTTTTGCTACCGAGGGTGTGGAATGGGTTTCCACGAGAGGTCATTGAGGCCCCATTGGTGAGGGCGTTCAAAGAAAGACTGGACATGCACATGATGGGCATGTTGTGAGCGGAGCTGGCTGGTGCCAGAGGTCAGACTAGATGGCCCGGGAGGCCCCTTCTGACTCGCTCTGTTTCTATGTTTCCTTTGAAAATGGGTACAGTAGTAGTCTCCAAGCAAGTATATAATGCATCACTTCTCGCAGCCCCTGCCAGGAAGCTGTTCCCCATTTTTGGTACATAGAAATTACACTGATAGACTTAACAGATTGGAAGGGAAATCTGACCCAGGAAAATGAATTGATGAAGACAATTGTGCATGCTACTGGTTTTATTTGCTGGCATGGGATGTGCCAGTTATCCCTGATTCCCTGGAACGTCATTTAGGGAGGTTTAGACAATACGTGAGTATTCCTTGGAAACAGGTATATTCTTAGCCAGTTCATTCTGTGAACTGATAACCTAATCCCAGGACTCAGAACAAAGGCCCATGAGTTCTCCATTAAATACATATTGCTGTCTTGATCCCATGGATTGTGTCCTTTTAGAAGGAAGTCTCCAATCTCACAATCTTCCAAGTATTCCACACCCTACAGAGCTGTTGCTAGTGAGGAGGCAAGAGGAAGATGGATTTACACTTCTCCATCCTCCTTTTTACCTTTTCACCCTGGGCCACTGAACCTGTCTGGCAGGGGCTGGTTCAGGGCCGAAGAAGCTATAGGATTTCTCATACCTTGATGTAATCAGACAAAGATGATCGGGGGTCTGGAAACAAAGCCCTGTGAGGAGAGATTGAAAGAGCTGGGCATGTTTAGCCCTGAAAAGAAGACTGGAGATACAATAGCACTTTTCAAGTACTTGAAAGGCTGTCTCACATTGGAGGGCCAGGATCTCTTCTCCATCATCCCAGAATGCAGGATGTGGAATAATGAGCTTAAGTTACTGGAAGTCCGATTTCAGCCAGACATCTGGAAAAAATTCCTGACTGTTAGAGTAGTCTGGCAATAGAACCAATTATCTGAGGAGGTTGTAGGAGGCATTCAAGAGGCAGCTGAACAGCCATCTTGGTAGGGATGCTTTAACTTGGGCTTCTGCATTGAACAGGGAGTCGGACCTGATGGCCTTATAGGTTCTTCTGAGTCTTCTTTGATACCAGCCACAGAAATCCAGTTGCTTCAAGGAAAAGATGGTGTGAAACTTTTATTTTGAATTATTACAAAGTAACCATAAAGATACTCTTAAAGCATATTAAGGATAACAGTGGCAGTGTTGGTAGTCAGAAAATCCATAATAGCTTCAGTTACATAAGTATTATATGGATTTTAAAACTTGAGGCAGGACAAAGGGGATCACCATTTAATTTGAATAAATTTGCATCTTTATTGATTGCTTTTTTTTTTTTTTAAGCGCAATCCTATGTTAGTTTTGACAGGAAAGAGGGTTACAACCCCCAGAACGCCCTAGCAAATATGTCTTACTATGGGATGCTGGCAGTTGTAGGCTCTGTATTCTGCCTAACCTTGATAGAAATGCATCATTAGACAGCTATAATCTGTTTTTCAGATACAATTCCAAAAGTGTTTTAGCCACTGCCAATTGCAATGTTTTTCTTATCCATTGAACAATGACGGTCATTCAGAACCCAGGTGAAGAAGAAACAACACGGTGACACTCCTGTGACAAGAGAAAGGCAGAAAACCATCTTGCGTAACATTTGATGACGCATTCATGATTTTGCTTTTCCAGCACAACTGTTTGCCCTCTGCCAAAATATAGGCCCAAGACTTTTGTATATGAAATGAATGAGGAAATTAAACTGAAGCATAATTCAGTGGGGGAATAAGAAAGTATTGGAGTGTAAAACAACTAACTGCGCAAGCCTAACCTTGTACACATACGTACTATTTAAAATTAGTTAATTTGTCTCTGAGTTGATCATGTATGGGATTGCACTGTAAATAGCTGGAGCTGTTTTCAGCTCAAAAGTGGTATCACTTTTGAGCTGAAAATACATGTAAATGTATGTAAGAGAGGAAAGAAGAAAAATGTAACATTTCCTTCCATGTTCAGCTAGATAGTAGAACTGTGCATGTTAAGCAAAATAGAAAAATATAGTTAACTGAGCTCAATCTATACTCCATGGGCTGGATCCGACAGTAGGAGGAGCAATAGACATCTGTACTCTCATGGACCAAGACTTAACTGATATCTTTTTAAAAGAAGGTGATTTCTGTTAACTTCTGTACAGTGATCTCATTATAAGAGTAAGTGAACTGGGAACTAAAAGCTCACTTCAAGAATGGTTAGAAGGAGATGTGAGCACTTAATATTGTCTGGATTAATTCTCATCAGCTTTAAAATGGTGAGTCCCAGCAGTTTGCTCCATAAACATTTCCAGAAATTAACTGTTGCTGCTTTTTAAATTAATATTCAGTCTGACATTTTGTATGTATCCCTATTTTCATTTTTTAAATATTGTATTTAATATTGTATTGCTTTAAAATGATGCTGGTTTTACTTTAAATATTTTAGATTATATGAAAGCAACCTTTAAACTGCTAAAATATGCCTAGTTCCTTAATTAAGGGATCAAGTCAAATTTTGTTGAGTGCAATATAATAAATTAACCTCTTCATCATCATCACTAAATTATTCTTTTTTCTGTATTATACGGATGTTATCTTCTTGTGGGATAACTCAAGAGGTACATGAACTTTATTGTGACACAAAGAACTCAATCCTTAGACAAAATAAAAAGATTGAGTTGTTTGTGTGAAGCTTCTAGTCAAAGGGATTTCTCTAGAATCTTCATAGCCTTGTTGTGGTCATAGTTATGTTTAATTTTAACCTCTGAACTCTCTTATTGCTATGAGTGCACTCTGTAATAGGTATATTTATTTATTTATTACAAACATTTATATCCCATCTTTCCGTGCAAGCGCTCGGAATGGCTTACATAGTATAAAATAGTGTAATAGTGTAAAATATAATAATAAAACCACAATTATTAAAAACATATAGAACTGAACATTATAAACTGAAAAGGAAGGAAAAGATAGAAAATAGAAAATGTGACTGTGAGAACTGAGAAAAAAATCTTAAAACATCTAAAACCCTTGATTATTAAAATGAAGGTTGAATAAAAAGATAATCACTTATTTTCATTTCAGCTTATTTCATAACAAGGTTTTGAAGAAGCATATTAGAAGCATATTAACAGTGCAATGCTATGCATACATATTTGGTTGTATGTATCCTTGAGCTGAATTGGGTTTACTTTTAGGTAACTGTGCATACTAAAGTCTTGATCAGTGAATCTAAACTTAGTTTCAGTTAACCTAAACATGCATTAGTCCAGCCATTCTGCTTGACTGGTTTGTGAATGAAGATTTATGATGCTGCCATTTTAAATCTTTTGGCCCTGATTCAGCTGTACTAGGTAACAAGTTATACATAGCAGCTGGTGCCCCCCCCCCCCCCCCAGTGTTCAGTACATCCCTGTGTGACACTCGGTTTTAGCAAAGCAGAAAAACTCAGTCAATGGGGCTGAATTTTACCAGGGACCGTGTAAGAGCAGAGATAAGTAAGAAACCAAGCTTGGCTCATTAAGAGAATTTATTGCTAAAGAATCATTAAAAGTCAGGACAGATAACCTTCCTGAGATCATTCCTTCGCTAAATTGAGGTCCTCCAGATTCTTGTTCACATGAAAATATACATCCCCTTGGTGGGCTTCAATGATAGATATGGAATGGTCATTTGGATGTTTAGTGAGATCAGTGATAGAAGGCTTCCTCTATGTAAGGATTTTTTTCAGCAGATTTGGGAGATGAGGTGGTCAGAATGAAAAGACGTGTCAAAGAAATAAGTCTGAGATTGCCATGCTAATCAGTCAACGACTGGAAACTTTCCATTTTGAATCAAAAGGCAGGAAGGAAATGACAGAAGAGCGAAAGGGTAACACAATCTTCATGATCCTTGCCAAAGCTCATTCATAGCTTTTTGGCTGTTGTACATACCTTCATATTTAATCAGTCGGAATAATATGAGATATTGTGATAGTTATTCACAGCTGTTTTATTTAGGAAAGTCATTGTTTATTGTATGTATAATGCTGCAGTTCTAAATTCAGCACTGGAGAGTCTTTCTGCTTAAAATACTAAGACTTACTTCTGAGTTTTATTTAATAACATATTAAATATTTTTGAAGAGTATTTCTCCCTGTGTTACTAATTCTCTAAACCATCTTTTACAGATCATTTCAGCTAATACAGGTAAAATTTGAAAATTTTTCTTTTGCAGTTTTTTTTTAAATGGGCATCTAAGTAAACTGGAAAAGTGCTTGTTTGGTATATCTTTTAGAGCTTAATAAATTTGAAACCATTTCCCTAAACATTGGTCTTTTTCATTTATAAATTCATTACCTTAATTTATTCATAAAGCACAATACATATATACACACAGAGAGAGAAAGGCAAACAACAGCTTTTACTAATCTATAAAATTTTAGTATCAAAATAAATCATAGTGGTATTCCTTGGCAATTAAAAAGTTCAAGAACCCAATCCAATTATTTACTTTTAAAGTTATACTTATTCACATTAGTTAAATTACACTTATTTTGAAATTTTTGAATACTTTTTAGTGCAGTTAATAACAGTATTGTATTAGCTTTTCTACTGGAGAAAAATTAAGTGAGATTTAATAACATTCTGTTCAAATTCAGTTTCTTTCTCTTAATTTATTCTGTCCACCATGATATGCTTGAAGATATTAATAAACAGATATTCTTCTCTGAGCACATTGTGTGAAAAAGAATATTAAGCAATCGCAAAAATGTTGTGTAAATGTGATTGCTTGATATTTGTTAGCATGGCAGTTTGCAACCCTATACACACTTGTCAGTGTAAATGTCATTATTGTTATTATTACATCCTAGTCTTACCCTGCCTTTTTACATCTTGCAAGGAATCCAGTACGACTTACATGATCCTCCTCTCCCTTTTATCCTTACAACAACCCTGTGAGGTAGGTTTGGATGAGAGTCAGTGACTGGACTAAACATACTCTGTGAGTTTCATGGCCCAATGGGGATTAGAACCTGTATCTCCTGAACTCTAGTCCAACACTGCAACCAAACTGGTTCTTGGTGGGACTTTTGTCCAAATATGCGTGTATAGGATTGGGTTGTAAGTCTTAAAAATATCCTGTAATGCAGCCAGTATTATTGCCACTCTCATGTTATAGATGGGTGCAAGATTTGTGAAAGACTGAGCTTTGTTTAAGGCAGCCTAAGGAGTATTGGCCGAGCTCATACTTAATCAGGAATGTTCTGCTTCACAGTTTATTCGCCTAACCTCTACAGTGCACCAAAAGAGCATAATCCTGCCTAGAACTATTCAGAAGTAAGCCCCATTGAGTTCCCTGATAAGTGCATATCAAATTACAGCCTAACCCTCCTATTGCATGCCAGATCTCTAAAACGGAGGATAAATAACATAATTGTTTTTCTCATGAGAGATAGGTCAGCATTTTTGGTTTGCAGAGTCAGAGAAATGGCAAAATAATTGTGAAGAGTGCAGGTGCATTGGTTCCATTGTCAGCTATAGAAAGCAAGAATAACCATGTATAAAGCCAACAGTAGCAAATCCATGTATTCACAGGTCTATCTATCCAATAAATGTGTATTATCTTTAAACTAGTTGAACTCATGATTTTCCACAAAGAAGTCAGAAAACTTTAGCTTGGTGAGGCCCTTAACGTTTCAAGTTGACCTGTCTCTGCTCCTTCGCTGATCCCAGAATTCCCTGGGGGAAATGGAATTATGAATAAACCAGTAGATGGTTTATGCTCTTGTTTAGACTGAAGCCACAACTATTTCATTAGGAGGAAACTGAATTTGAGTTGTTAATTTTCTAGGTTTCACTGTATCTGTTCATGAAGTGACATCAAGAAGTATTTATCTACGATGGTCCAAGTTTCCCGGAGCTTTTTCTTATAGAGTCATGGCAACCCCTGTGAATGCAGTCACGCACTCTTTGTCGGTCCATTTCAGTGATGTTACGCTTGTAGGCACTGTAGGATTGCTGTCTCCCAACACAGTTCACACTGTAAAGGTGGATGCTATTGATAAAAATGGAGTTATAATGGCTGAAGCACAGACAATGCAATTAACAGGTAAGTATGAGATAGTTTAACAAATGAGTCAGGGTGTGTGTATTTAACAAGTTCACTGAAAGTTCCCAAAAACTGGTTTTAGTTTCATACGAACATGCTGTAATGAACGTTTGAAAGAAAAAAAGGAGACAAAGACTCTGATCATGCACACAGTTAATCTACTGATCTTCTGCCCCCTAGACAGTGTTGGACACCGAGATGCAAAGGCAGGAAATTGCTCCAACCTTGGTGCTGCAAATCTGCAATCAGGTTCCCCCGCCCCACTAGCCAGCAGAGAAAGAATGGTGCCCGCAGCTTCTTCAAGACTGTGAAAGCGGCCTCTGAAAAACAATAAAGGAGACATTAGGGAAGGGCAGGGAGGAAAGGTGACTGCCTATCCTATGTGAATCCGAATGATGCTAATATGAAGTGCCATATCTGATGGCTAAAATTAGACAGCTAGCTGAATTGTATGCTGGAAGGAGTAAAGAGCTGAGGTTGCCTCCACTGTTTCCCTGCCCTGCATTTGTTGTTGTTAAGGGCCACCAAGTCATCTCCAATGGCTGCCCTGTGAGCAAATGTCCTTCAAAATGGCCTGTCCTTGGCAGCCCTACTCAGACAACTCAAGACTATGGCTTCCTTTGTGGATTAAATCCAGCTCAAATTTGATCTTCCTCTTCTTCTGCAAACTGAGTCATTCCATCAGGGTGTTTTGGTCAGGTCCGGCTGTTGTTGAATTCTGAAGGACAGCAGAGAGGGAGTAAGGTAGAGGAGAGGTTTGTAGTTGCTTAGATCATCAAGTAACCTTCACCAGGAAAGCATTCTAGGGGGTGAGAACAGGAAGACCATCTGATGCATTCTGGCCTATTGTTGTAAAGAAACTCCTATGCTTGCATGACTAGTGAAACTGGGTGATGGTGTGTCAGGGTTTAATTCCAGGTTAACTTTCTTGGGTTACTACTTTAAGACCCACTATAGGCTTGAATAGATGTCCTAGCGTTCTGGAGCTCATCCTTTGCATGCAAAACAACCCATGTTTGATCTCTGGCATCTCCAACGGGCTGGGAAAGTTCTTGTCTGAACCCACAGTTATGTAATGAAATAGAATAGAATGAACACCCCATGTAAATTTTAACTTGAAGAAACTGCTATGGATAATATGAATACAGATACACATTTCAGATATTATTTCAATGAAAAGTATTTGTCGTGAAGTTGGAAAGCATTCGTTAAAGAAAGATGAGAGATCTGTAGCAATTCCTCCTGTTTCTGAACAATTCCTAGCTACAGCCCTTTATTAAACAACATTTAACATAATTACAAATAGTGGAAAAGGAGGACGTATCTGATGATCTGCCTGACTAACACTGAATGAAAGAAGGCCTTGGCTTACTTCAATGGGCATATTGTTCAAGAAGAGCTTGTCCTGCTTGTGGAAGAATAATCCATGTAATAGAGCCAAGGTCACTGAAACCATGTTTTTATTTGGTATGAAATTGTTGGCTGTGTTTCACAGTGTAGGCTTGCATGGATATCTTTCTATTTTACTTTCTTTTGGCTTTGGTTGAGGTCACATACATCCATTTTGTGAGGTCTTTTCTGTCCACCACCACCACACGAATTTTGGGGTGTGTGTGTGTGTTTTAAACTCTAGAACCATTTTTCCAAACTTCACACTGCTGAAGCACTTTTCTCTGAATTAAACTTGGAGGTCTGTTTAGTCACTTCACTCTCACCTCATAATATCATCCAGGGCAAAAGTCAGGTATGCAACCAGATGAGCAAGAACGGTTTCAAACTTTATAGGGATGGGTCACTCCATTTTGAAGCAAGCAAAAGAATGTGCATTGACGTCCAAAGACACCCTCTCTGATAAGACCATTAGATCTGAGTCTAAAATTACCTAGCTGCACATTTACCCTTGCCCTGGGAAAGGCATCCTTTAATGTCCGAATTGCCCACCCGAAGAGGAGCAGAATCACAAGTGTACCTGTGTGAGTCTGTTCTGGCCAAATTGCTCACCCATTTTAGAGGCAAAGGCAAAGAATCGCTCAGGGAAGCAGCACGCAGCCGTCCATGCAGGTGGCTGCTTTGGGTTTCTAGGAGCGTTTAGTCCTTCGTTAGTTGTTTTTCATAGCACACCGGACTGTAGTGCACATGCAGAGTTTAAATGGCTGCTCTCTGAATAGCATACAGATGAATCTTTTGTTTTGTTTTACCATCAAGTAAGTGTGTGAGGTTACATGTAGGGGATGTTTAAACTTCCCACCTAATGATCTGCCTCCTTGTTAAATCCTGCCCCCTACACATGTGGAGGAAGAAACCTCCCCCATGTTAGGTGCTGGAGCCCCTCCTATTCCTGTGGAAGTAGAAACAAAAAACACTATTTTCAATCTATATATTTAATGGAACATGTAGCTTAGTCTTCAGCCAGTGAATGTAAGGTACTGAGGGCAAAATATGTCAAAAAATATGGCGCATGAGCTTCCTGCAAAAATGCCCAGAGGAGACCAGCTGCAGACCAGGTGGTGAATGGGCCCCTTTGCCAGCAAGGATTACTTGCAGCTTTGAAAGCATATTGCCGGCTGTCAATTGCTTCCTACGCCTGGGGATACCGGACAGCATAGGAACCTGCGTGACTTTGACTGACAGCATCCCCTTGTCCATCATCCACCCCAATCTCCTCATCATCGCTCCCGCCTAACTGTGGTTTGCCACGGTTGCAAAAAGGCGGCAAGATTTTTTAAAACAATTTTAATTGCAAGAATTGGGCGGTGGGGGTGGGGGATAATTTTAAAGGTACTCGGCAACCTGAGCAGTCATTCTAAGGTACAGCTGGGGAACTTGGAGGGACTGCAAGAGCTCTCAAAAGGGGAACTGTGAAAGTTGGCCCGGCAGTTTGTTAATGGGCAAAAAGCTGCCACAAGCCCTAAATGCTCGCACTTGCAACAGGGATGAGGAGTCACTTTGGGGTCCCCACAGTGTCCTCTGGAATACCCATGGGAGGACTAAGCAGGGGAGCAAAAGGGCTTGCTATTCTGATGTTCCTGGTTGCCATTGGGTGTATTGGAGCGAGTAGGATATTGCGCTGTGCAGCCCTTTCTGACACCATTCCGAGTGGAGTGCCAAAACCTGTGACCGGGTGGCTGATGAAAGACAGAAGCCTGTTTTGTGCCTACAGGTCATAAAAATGCTATTCTGCAAATGCTGCTCTTGTGCTCCTCGGATAAGGATTAGTCCGGTTTTTCAAGACAAACATGATCTTTGGTCATATATCAGGCACCGGGGACGGGTAAGTAATACATTCTGCCTACACCATTTGAGTTGAAAGGAAAGCCATCAAAAGCGACCCTCACTGAGCTCAGACTGTCCAAGTGATCCGTCACATTCCACAAAGCAATGTCCTTGGATGGCAACGTGTCTGCTGACTTTGAAATGACCGTGGTCCTTCCTCCCTTTTTTCAAGCTCCTGAGATTCCCATTATCGAACAAGCCTATTCAAAGCTGAGCAGCAGTATCACGGTGGAATGGGCAGCTGTCGCTGGGGCATCCAGTTACTTGCTGACAGCACAGGATGGAGAGTCACTCATTGCAACAATAATCGCAAATTCTCCAGGCACCGTGACAGGATTGAAGGCTGCGACCCTGTATAAAATCACCATCCAATCTATAAACGCTGGAGGAAGGAGCCTGCCCTCACCGTCAAAGAAGGCAAAGACAGGTACTTTCAAATTCATCTAGACAATGCAGATGCTCGCTGTTGTTAGATTCGCAACAGAAGCGTTTAGCACCTTTCCTTCATCCATTTTGGTCTGATTTCTAGTCTGGAAGGCTAGAAGTGGCTTCAGACAACACAATAATCCGCTCAGAAGAGTTGCTGAATCCTAGGCAAGTGCTGTAACATGGCTAACTTTTTTCCTGAACCCAGTTGTGCTCTGTTTATTTGTGCCAGGCCTCTCTAGAAAAGGGGGTTCAGTGATATATATTATTGTATCAGTGATATTCACCGATAATAAATAAATATCAGTGAATATAGTTCAGCATCTGAGATGTTTCCCCACCTGCACTGTCATGGAGTTTTTCAGAAGTCTATTTTATTCCTCATGTTGTTTAATTAATATTACCATGGGCCTGCTGGAATTACGTGTCATCAGTACGCTGATGATCTGCAACTCTATGTTGTGTGGACAGCAGCAGTATGATTTCTGAATAAGGCCTTAAGCGGATTGGGTGAAGCAAAATAAAATTGACGTACGAGAAGCTGAGCCAGATGTCTGTGGAAGAGCTGCGTGTTCCCAAAGCAGTGTAAATAGGGAGTGCTCTTGGATGTGGCCTTGGACATGGCCTTGATTTAACCAACATGCATCCTTGACCTGGTGGCTGGTGCTCGGAACAGTTTGTCCCTGACAATGCCCACTCAATCTCTTCCTGGAAAATGGGTTTTGCTTCATACTGTCCTGCCTGTGTAGTTCAAAAACTAAACAGTATGATGCACTCTACGTGGAACTTTGCTTGAAGACCGAAGTGTCAATTGGTGCCAGAGTCTCTGCTCATCACTTTACATGAGCTGGTAGGCAAGAATTAGAAACTGGTTTTTGACTACTTGGTTAACTACTTAGCAATCCCTTTCAATAGTGATTTGAATCGCACTTATCTACTATTATTGGCTGCCAGGAAAGAATGAATCATGGAGGCACTGGGTGCCCATTTCCACACATTACAAAGGAATGTGTTTATACATGTATATGCCCTTCACAAGTGATAGGTGTGTATACCTCTTTTGTACTCCAATATGAATATGCGTATGTGTATGAAAATGTATACTGAAGTACAAAAAGTTCAATGGGCAGCAACCCTAAGCTGCTAACCTACAGTGAGATCTTGTCCACACTTGCACAGATACAGAATTCCATTGAACCTGACATGTATTTGCTCATTCACAGTGCTTGCGGCACCAATCCTGATAGCAAATTCTCCAAGTTATGACAGCATTGTGGTGAGCTGGAGAGCTGTCTATTTGGCTGTTGGATTCTTCGTGTCTATCATGAGATCAGATGGTTTGGGTGGTATGTTGAAAGAAAATACCACCAACAACTCTCTGATATTTTCCAGTCTGGACCCAGGAGCGCTCTATACCATCAAGGCACATGCTTGGGATGCTAATGGGATACCTGGAGATGATTTCACCTACAACCAAAGAACAAGTAAGAAGCAGCCTGGAAAGCAAAGAAAATATATTTTGGCAAAGAACAGTCAGACATAATATGACAATGAAATATAAAAGGTTCTAATGTACTGCCCATAGACTTAATGAAAAGTGTTTGAATGTCTGTTTTATTTTAAATGTAACTGAATAAATTTGGAAATGAAGAGGAATGGAAATATCCCATCACATTTTTAAAATCAATAATTAAACATTCAACAAAACCAGAACTAGATACTAACACCACAGATCCCTGAAATATTATCAAGCAGGTATCCTGCAGCAGAAAACATCAGTTGAATATTGGACTTTTCATTCAATTACAGTTTATTAGAACTTAATAAAGTTTTCCTTTATGGGGAAAACTTGCTGGCCCAAACTGGAGAAAATCAATGTTCCGTGCATATCCCATAACAATTTTACCCTATTAGCTATGATGAAATTCATCTTTTCAGTTTCTAAGCTTCAAGTTAATTTCCCACCCCTGTGCAGGATAATAAATATATATTATTGATTATGAATTATCTTAATGTGTTTTATATATTTCAATATTTCCACTTCTAGCGGTCATTGCTGTAATCAATGGCTGCGACAATAAACAGTTTTACTCATTCATAGGAGCCTTGTGGCTAATAGGGCAGGTTAAACATCTAATAAATAAAATAAATATAGTTTATGCATTCATATAGTCTAATTTCTACTCAAAATACTTTTGCAATCCCTCTCTTTTTTAACGATACAGGGCCTCATGCACCTGGAGATGTACAAGTGGTTTTTGATAGTGGAGCTTTGACATCCACTGTTTCTTGCTTGCCAACCGAAGGAGCTTCCAGGTACCTCATTACAGCCTACAGCAGTACGTCCATCCTGAACTGTAGCACAGCTTCCACTTCCTGCACAATCTCACCCCTTGAGTGTGGGACTAAGTATTCCCTCTCGGTTGTAGCAAGCAATGAAGCTGGTCCCAGCACACCGACAGAAGGTGTAACTTTCAAAACTGGTATGTGAACAGCAGTAATCCCCATATGTAATTCATGCTGTATGGAGAAACATAAGTCATAAAGAAACAGGGGCTTCATTCATTTGCAGACTGGTGATAATTCTTAAAGGAAGGTTATTGATTACATCCCTTTCCAAGAAGTCTTCTGCACAGAGGAAACAGAGGGCAAGCAAAGCAGTTGGGCTTATCTGTATGGCAGTTTAGATGTGGATCAGTATTTGGCATACATCTGAACCTTGCATTCTAAGCGTGTCTGCATCTTCAGCCCATCTCTGTCTTTTACCTGTCTTGGTCCATTTGTACTGCAAAGGCAATAGTGAAATCAGTGACTGCGATACAAAACTGCACAGCTAAAATCAAAATTTAGGGATGGAAGGAGAGGTAGCTTGTATGGGTCAACTGAGCAATGATATTGTGTCCAAGGCTGGCTCCAAGTTGAGTGTTGGTGGTGGGAATATAGGAGCTTCAGGCAAAGTAACAGTTCATATAATATAGCACCTTCTCATGGGTCAATTAACCCACAATTATCTTGGATTGACTCACAATTAACAGGGCATACACAGCTGCCATTTTGAATATGCAATCTCAGATCAGGGCTTGTGGAATGTCGTGTGAACCTGACCATCACAGGTTAAGTGAGGGTTAAACAACTGAGGGTTATATGTGAATTGTTTTATTTATATTATGTCGCACTACAATCCCTAACTAATCAGGGCTGCATATTCAAAATGGTGGTCATACATACACATGGTGTGCCTAATCATGGCTTAATTAACCCAAGATATACTGCAGGCCCTGCAGTGGTGATGCAGGCACTGTTGGAAATTAAAAGGATTGTGAGATCCAGCTACTTGGTGCTATTTGGAAAGTTGCATCCTAAGAATAAAATGAATTAATTAAGGGGACCTATGGCTTCAGTTGGCTAAGCCAGGGATGCAGGTGCTGGTCCTGATGAACTTTTGAGGAAAAGGGTATGGGAGGTTGCTTCCAGGGAGGTCATTAGAACTCCTCCCACACATCCTGAAAGCCATGGCCAAGCTTTGCTATGCATCCTGCTTTGCATCTTGGCCATACATTTATTATGCCAGCCATCCTGGTAACAGTTTTCTGTGATCTTCCTTCACTGTTCTAGTGCTGAGACAGGCCTCTTTCTGTTTCAGACTACCTTTTGTGGGGGATGTGTGTGAATGATTCCCACCCAACACTTTCCCACAAAAAACAAAACAAAACAAACAACAAAACACTGCTGCAGTGCTTAATGAAGTAAAGAGTTACATTAGTTAATGAGTAGACCTTAGCCAAAAAGGCATTCCAGATTCGACCCTTTAGAGGAGCAGAGGTTGGCTGCATGTGTTCTGCTCTGCCCCAAATTTAAAAAAAAGTTACAGGGGGAAAATAGTGGTGCCTGAAGTGCTACCTGGTACCCAAAATGCCAAATTCAGCTTGCAAACTAGCTAATTTTGACCTTTATGCCTCTTGTTAATGCTACAGGCAGTATATTTACTGAATTCATTTTTCAAAAACGTTCATGGCACAAACCTGTGGTCAGTCCTATTGCATTATGCACAAATGCACTGTCTGTTTTCTAGGCACTGTTATCCCTAAAAGAGGCAGATTTCTTTTCCCCAGGAAATACTGCTGGCCATGTCATTTGTTATGCAAATTGTGCAACTTAGTTTGCTCTTAAACTCATTCACCAGTACAGGAGCTCGTAGGAGACTATATCCAACAAAAGCACAGGCAGCCCCTGAAATGTGCACCAAATGAACATTTTCTAGACATCTTCTTAATTAAGGTTTTTTTTTTTTTAAATTCAGTGTAATTGTATAAGAAAAACTGAAACATGCTTTTGTTCAAACATTGACTGTGCAGTCCCTTGTGCTCCAGGAAGTATAATGATGGAAGAGGACGAGCCAGGCAACCTGGCAGTGTCCTGGTCAGATGCGGAGCTGGGTGACTATTATGTGGCCTTTGTGAAAAGCGATGATGGCTTGGAGGTGCACTGCAACACATCACACACCCAGTGTCACTTCCAATCAGACTGCGGCTTCACCTATTTTATTAGTGTCTTTGCCTATAACAAGGCAGGCCAGAGCCCTTTGGGTGACATACTTAATTATACCACAGGTAAGTACCAATTTATTTATTTGTGCATGCATATTTGTTTAGTAAAGCCATGTGGACATCAGCGTTTTCCCAGTCGCAATGTATGGCTGCGAAAGCTGGACCATAAGGAAGGCTGAGCGCCAAAGGATTGAGGCCTTCGAATTGTGGTGCTGGATGAGACTCCTGTGAGTCCCTTGGACCGCAAGGCGATCAAACCGGTCAGTCCTAGAGGAGATCAACCCTGATTGCTCTTTAGAAGGCCAGATACTGAAGATGAAACTCAAATACTTTGGGCACCTAATGAGAAGGAAGGACTCCCTAGAGAAGAGCCTAATGCTGGG